TTTACTGTGGCCCCGGCGGACCCCCCGCACTGGATCACGTACATTTCCAGGGTAGAGGGCGCGAGAGTGCACCCGCCACCCCATCTGTGCTGTCATTTGGTACGGCACAAGTCGTTCTGCAGGTCCCAACCAATGATTTATGACTAGGACCTGCTTAGCGAATCGCAACAGAGTCCTGTGTTTACTAACAACACAGGGCTCTGTAAAGAGAGCAGTGAGGTGGCTGTGTTTTCTCCCTGCAAAGCAGGGACAAAAAACATCCACAGTGATATCTAAATATAACCCAAACCGTACTCTCCGCTCCTCGCAAGACCTCCTACTCTCTAGCTCCCTTGTCTCTCTCCTTCCATGCTCGTCTCCAGGACTTCTCCAGAGCTTCTCCTATCATCTGGAACTCTCTGCCCCAATTTATCAGACGATCGCCTACTCTGCTTACTTTTAGGCGATCTCTGAAAACCGATCTCTTCAGGGAAGCCTATCCTGCCCTCAGCTAATACTGGAATCCTCTACTCTTCCTACCAGTCCATCCCCCACAGTTACTACCGTTTGTACCACTAGCCCCTCCCTTCTAGATTGTAAGCTCCCAGGATCAGGGCCCTCCTATCCCTCTTGTATTGAACTGTATTATTGCTGTATTGTCTCCCATTATATTGTAAAGCGCTGAGCAAACTGTTGGCGCCATAAATCCTGTATAATAATAATAATTAGTAAAAGCAGCACACATTACACATTGTTAGACACACAGTTAACCCTTTGATTGCCTCTAGATGTTAACCCCTTCCCAACCAGTGTTATTAGCACAGTGTGTGTAAAGTATTATCACTGATCACTGTATTAGTGTCACTGGGGATGTCAGTTAGTCAGTTCCCACCCAGACTCAGATTGCCCGCCGCACAGTCCGACTATAAGTCGCTGATCACCGCCATAACTAGTATAAATAAAGAAACTCAGTATATATACAATAGTTTGTAGACGCTATATCATACACAAGCCAATAAATATACACTTATTGGGATTTTTTTTTTTTTTTTTTTACTAAAGACATGTAGCAGAATACATTTTGGCCTATATATTGTAAAGAAATGATTTTTTTTATTGTATATGTTTTATAGCAGAAAAAAAATATTGCGGTTTTATATGTTTTTTTTTCCGAATTTTCAGTCTTTTTTTGTTTATAGAATACAAAAAAAACTTTGGTGATCTAATACCACTAAAGAAAGCTCTATTTTTGTGAAAAAAATGATATAAATTTAATTTGGGTACAGCGCTGCATGACTGCGCAATTGCCAGTTAAAGTAGTGCACTGCCAAATGCCCTGCTCATGAAGTGGTTCAAGACCTGGAGCTGAAGTGGTTAAACAGGTGAAAATGTGCGTGTAAGTTGGTTGCAATAAATCAGAGCCATGGTTCGATCCCGGGGCTAACCTACCCTATACAGATATCTGGTGTGACAATGATCAGAAAAGGTACAAACTAGGGGGGAGATTTACTAAAACTGGACCACTCAGAATCAGGTGTGGTAACCAATCAGCTTCCTAATTTAGCCGATTCCATTAAGCTTTGACAACAAAACCTGGAGGCGGATTGGTTGCTATGCAAAGCTGCACCAGATTTTGCACTCTCCAGTTTTAGTAAATCCCCACAAAGTCTGTTTTCCCTCTGACTTTCATTTCTGTATCCACATTACAAATTCACCGCGTTGTGTTTTCTCACTGTTTAGAGGATTACAAGAAAGGACGGATTTTATTTCTGATGTTCTAAAGCGCGTGGAAAGACAAGCTGCAAGCGGAGATAAAAATCCCAGACCTCGATAGGCGGCTGGCTCGCTTTCATGCGTCGACTTTCCATCAAGCCCTCAAGTAGACTTCGTGTCAATTTTGTTTTTATGATAAACAGGAGAAATCTCTGAAATGTCAACTTTAATTACAGGGAGAAAAGCATCAATCAACTGGCACATAATCAGGATGTATCTGTGTTTATCGCTGTCATTAAAGCTTAATACCAACATTTATGAAGGGACGGCGTCTTTCTGCAGTTCACACGGGTCTATGGAAGTCGTCCTAATTGACCCAAGACAGCTGAGGCTGAAAGAAGATGACTTGGGGGGGGGGGGGGGGAAGAAGAAGCGGAGGGAGACGATATACGTGATAGAGAAATTGAGAGGGAAGTGTAAAAAAAAACAAAATCAGGGGATTTTGCAAGTGAGTGACAAATATTAGGGCCCAATTAGGGTCCATTCACACCAGCTAGTAGGCATTATGGTCCATGTAATGTGCGCATTCATGTGTGTTGTGTAGGAGCAACGTAATGCATTGCTACAATATGTATGTGAAGGACCGTCTGGCACCCCATCTGAGTGCGCCCGTCAGAGAACTACTTCCTCAACGCTGGGACACAGGAGGTATTATAGTCAAGGGCATCGCACCCAAGGGACTAGAATGACACTAGTTTAGGTGCAAAACTGGAACTCTTCATTGAACAGAAATACAGGTTTTTTTTTACACTTCAGAAATAGTTGCAGTCCTCACATGAATAATAAAAACAAATATTACACAGTGGGATAAAACATCCTACACAAATTAGGTAGTAAGGTCAAGTTGACACCAGACTAATCCCATCACGTAGGAACCTCCAGGAAGACTAGCCAACAGGCGACAAAACTGGAACTCTTTATTGAACAGAAAAAAAGGGTTTTTTTTTCACTTCACTTCAGAAATAGGTGCAGTCCCCACATGAATAATAAAACAAATATTACACAGTGGGATAAACATCCTACACGGATTAGGTAGTAAGGTCATGTTGACACCAGACTAATCTCATCATGTAGAAACCTCCAGGAAGACTAGCCAATAGACAACAGTGACAAAACTGGAACTCTTTATTGAACAGAAATACAGTTTTTTTTTACACTTCAGAAATAGGTGCAGTCCCCACATAAATAATAAAACAAATATTACACAGTGGCATAAACATCCTACACGGATTAGGTAGTAAGGTCAAGTTGACACCTGACTAATCTCATCATGTAGGAACCTCCAGGAAGACTAGCCAACAGTGACAAAACTGAAACTCTTTATTGAACAGAAATACAGGTTTTTTTATACACTTTAGAAATAGGTGCAGTCCCCACACGAATAATAAAACAAATATGACACAGTGGGATAAACATCCTACATGGATTAGGTAGTAAGGTCATGTTGACAACAGATTAATCTCATCATTTAGGAACCTCCAGGAAGACTAGCCAACAGACAACAGTGACAAAACTGGAACTCTTTATTGAACAGAAATACAGGTATTTTTACACACTTCAGAAATAGGTGCAGTCCCCACATGAATAATAAAAACAAATATTACACAGTGGGATAAACATCCTACACGGATTAGGTAGTAAGGTCAAGTTGACACCAGACTAATCCCATCATGTAGGAACCACCAGGAAGACTAGCCAACAGACAACTAATTACCAGTTAGCTAATCAACAGCTAGCAACTAACATCCAAAGCTGGCTACACATTATACAATTTTTTTTGTTCTTTTAGATTTACCAAAACCATATAAAATGAGGTCAAACCTAAACACTTTCAATGTGTATGCAATCAGGCAGGCCTTTGCACTGCATGGGTGAAGGTAAATCTAAAGGAAATACATGAAACTTGTATAATGTGTAATTAGTGATCTAATTCACAGCCATGCACCCTGGCCAGCCAGGAGCCCACCCCAGAGAACCCACCACCTCCAACCCTAAATACACAAAAGTACATTACACACGCTGTCTTTCAGGGGAATGGCCCCCACCTGTGCATAATGTCCATCATGAGACAAAACTCACAAGTTTCCAACAGTCTGAAAAAGTGGAATGATAAAGAACAAATGGTACAAATGCCTAGTGCATTATCTACAGCAGTTTATTGAAGTATAAAAGATGACAATTATAAAGACAATATCAGTATGAATAATAGCGTCGTAAAAAATCCAGGACCCAGAAGCAAGCTCATCGTGGGACTCCTCAGGTTCAAATGGATGCTCTGAAGAAGGGGGCTTTTCCAGTGAAACACATAAGCTGGTATTATCATCCATTTGAACCCGAGGAGTTCCACGATGAGCTTGCTTCTGGTTTCTGGATTTCATACAACACTATTATTCATACTGCTTTTGGGAGTATCATTCTAACTTCCTGTTTTGGGTATGCGACAGGAAGTGATGGAAAAATATGTCCAATGGGACACAGATGGATAAAGAAAAACTTGACGGGGTTAAAAACCTTCCCTTACTCTATCCAGAATGAAAAGTATAGCTGTCATGTTTCACATGACTGTCATATGCCTTTAAGTGTTTTCTATATTTTGTCTCTGCTCCTCCCTTTCCTCTGGTTTAGCTCTTGCTGTATAGATAGCCCCACCCCTTTTCCCAGAAATGCATTGCAGCTTCAAGCCTCATGTCATGAAGAAGATCACATTATGATCTTTCGACCTATCCGATGTTCATTGTTATTATTATACAGGATTTATGGCGCCAACAGTTTGCTCAGCACTTTACAATATAACGGGAGACAATACCGCAACGATACAGTTCAATACAAGAGGGATAGGAGGGCCCTGATCCTTGGAGCTTACAATCTAGAGGGAGGGGCTAGTGGTACAAAAAGGTAGTAACTGTAAGGGATGGACTGGTAGGAAGAGTAGAAGATTCCATTATTAGCGGGCAGGATAGGCTTCCCTAAAGAGAGAGGTTTTCAGAGATCGCCTAAAACTGAGCAGAGTAGGCGATAGTCTGATAAATTGTGGTAGCGAGTTCCAGAGGATGGGTGAAGCTCTGGAGAAGTCCTAGAGACGAGCATGGGAGGAGGAGACAAGGGAGATAGAGAGTAGGAGGTCTTGCGAGGAGCAGAGAGGACGGTTTGGGTGATATTTGGAGACAAGATCGGTGATATAATTTGGGGCTGACTTATAAATGGCTTTATACGTTGTTGTTAATGTTTTGAATTTTATCCGTTGGGCAACTGGAAGCCAGTGGAGGGATTGGCAGAGAGGGGTGGAGGACACTGAGTGGAGGCCAGTGGAGGGATTGGCAGAGAGGGATGGAGGACACTGAGTGGAGGCCAGTGGAGGGATTGGCAGAGAGGGATGGAGGACACTGAGTGGAGACCAGTGGAGGGATTGGCAGAGAGGGGTGGAGGACACTGAGTGGAGACCAGTGGAGGGATTGGCAGAGAGGGGTGGAGGACACTGAGTGGAGGCCAGTGGAGGGATTGGCAGAGAGGGGTGGAGGACACTGAGTGGAGGCCAGTGGAGGGATTGGCAGAGAGGGGTGGAGGACACTGAGTGGAGGCCAGTGGAGGGATTGGCAGAGAGGGGGGTGGAGGACACTGAGTGGAGGGAGGGATTGGCAGAGAGGGGTGGAGGACACTGAGTGGAGACCAGTGGAGGGATTGGCAGAGAGGGGTGGAGGACATTGAGTGGAGACCAGTGGAGGGATTGGCAGAGAGGGGTGGAGGACACTGAGTGGAGGGGATTGGCAGAGAGGGGTGGAGGACACTGAGTGGAGGGATTGGCAGAGAGGGGAGGCTGATAGAGAACGGTTAGTGAGGTGGATGAGTCTGGTAGCAGCATTCATGATAGACTGAAGAGGGGATAGCCTGCGATGATGTAGGCCAATGAGGAGGGAGTTACAATAGTCAAGGCAAGATATACCAATTGTAAGATTCTCTCAGTTTATGGAATAAACTTCACAAGATCTACAACATCTTCTGGATCGAGTCACTGCCTGTGACATTCAACTAAGATTGGAGTTATCGCTATCTCATCACAACTGTAAATTACAGAGATCACACTTTCAATGCTTAGATTGGAGAGACAGAACAATAGCCGTTAGCTCTACTTTAAGAGAAGTATCAAAGTTGGCATGTCCATAAAGCCTAAAACAAACCACAAGAACATACAATGTTACAGTCAGGTCAGCACACAGCCCCTTATAGCAGAGTCTTCCCTTTATATCAGGAAATTCATCATGTATCCTATTCCTGAAATATTCCCCAAAGAATGACACGAGTTATGGTGTCTGGGAACACAAGCATGGCTGCTCACATTACAATAATTATTATACCGCAATAATACAATAAAGAGAGACATCAGCCAGAGAAGAAGAATAGGAAGGCAGCTGAAAATGTAATGATATTATTTTTGAGTAATATGAAAAAGTTACAGCAATAAAAAAACAAGTCTTTGCAGGTTGCGGAGACATAAAAGGTTCTTTCTGAATAATTCAAATCTGTCAGCAAAGCGGAGCCGAGAAGGAGGTGGAGCCAGAAGACGACGGATTTCTGACTTATCCTGTATTTCAGTGACAGTCATAAAGATCCAAAAACATTAGGGGTCAGTCTAAAATATATGGTTTAAAATATTTAAAAATTTTCAAGATTTTTGCTAGATTTTACATTTCAAAGCCTTCAAGTTATGAGATGTTTTTGTTTTTATGTTCTTTTCACAGTGGCATACATTTATCTGATACTGATTATGTCATTTTTTAAAAATAATAAACATGTCATACTTACCTGCTCTGTGTAATAGTATTGCACAGAGCAGCCCCAATCCTGCTCTTCTCAGGTCCCCCCTCCCCGCTGAGTGCCCCCATAGTAAGCTGTTTGCTATTTGGGCACTCGTGCAGGCTTGAACCCGAGCTGCAAGCTGTGTGTCTATAGTCTCCAAAGTCTCGCTTTCCTTTCCACTGGATTCAATGAGAGCAGGGCTATCAATCAAATCCAGTGATGAGGGAGTGGGGATGGGGCTGAGCCACACTGTGTGCATCAAAGGAAACAAACAGAGTTAATGCATTACCAAACCTTGGACCCCGCATTCACTATATCCGCTCTCCCCGGACACCGCATTCACCATATCCGCTCTCCCCGGACCCCGCATTCGCCATATCCGCTCTCCCCGGACCCGGCATTCACCATATCCGCTCTCCCCGGGACCCCGCATTCACCATATCCGCTCTCCCCGGACCCTGCATTCACCATATCAGGTCTCCCCGGACCCTGCATTCACTATATCCGCTCTCCCCGGACCCTGCATTCACTATATCCGCTCTCCCCGGACCCTGCATTCACTATATCCGCTCTCCCCGGACCCTGCATTCACTATATCCGCTCTCCCCGGACCCTGCATTCACTATATCCGCTCTCCACGGACCCTGCATTCACTATATCCGCTCTCCACGGACCCTGCATTCACTATATCCGCTCTCCCCGGACCCTGCATTCACTATATCCGCTCTCCCCGGACCCTGCATTCACTATATCCGCTCTCCCCCGGACCCTGCATTCACTATATCCGATCTCCCCGGACCCTGCATTCACTATATCCGCTCTCCCCGGACCCTGCATTCACTATATCCGCTCTCCCCGGACCCTGCATTCACTATATCCGCTCTCCCCGACTCCGCATTCACTATATCCGCTCTCCCCGGACTCCGCATTCACTATATCCGCTCTCCCCGGACTCCGCATTCACTATATCCGCTCTCCCCGGACTCCGCATTCACTATATCCGCTCTCCCCCGGACTCCGCATTCACTATATCCGCTCTCCCCGGACTCCGCATTCACTATATCCGCTCTCCCCGGACTCCGCATTCACTATATCCGCTCTCCCCGGACTCCGCATTCACTATATCCGCTCTCCCCGGACTCCGCATTCACTATATCCGCTCTCCCCGGACTCCGCATTCACTATATCCGCTCTCCCCGGACTCCGCATTCACTATATCCGCTCTCCCCGGACTCCGCATTCACTATATCCGCTCTCCCCGGACCCCGCATTCACTATATATGCTCTCCCCCCGGACCCTGCATTCACTATATATGCTCTCCCCCCGGACCCTGCATTCACTATATCTGGTCTCCCCCCAGCGGACCCTGCATTCACTATATCCGCTCTCCCTGGACCCTGCATTCACTATATCCGCTCTTCCCGGACCCCGCATTCACTATATCTGGTCTCCCACAGTAAACAGAACATGGAAATGCAATAATTTTAACAAATATAAACTGCTAAATACTTTTTCTCATCAGCAGTATATAGCAGTCTTGTGACTTCTATCAGTGTCCAGCAGAGCACTGATTAAAGCTTGTAGGAGGAGTTTTCAGTCTCCTCTCACTGTCCTGTGAGGCTGCAGAACCTCTGACCCTCTGTCTGGACAGTGCTGATTGGCCCTGTGCTGACTACATGCACCCTCCCAAAGGAAAAAAAACAAAAAAAACAACCATCTAGCAATACACACCAAACTGAGCATAGTGGTGGTTCCAATTTTTTATGTCACATGGCATTACCACAAAGGTTACACAACATTTCTGCAAAAAAAACACACTAAAGTGAATTTTAGGGCAAAATCACGCAATGAATTACCCAATTTTTATGGTAAAATATAAAAAGAGGAGGTTGCAACGAGTACATAGATACTCCACGTGTCAAACCTTAAATTTGTGTGCGCCTGTGAAATGGCGACAAACTTCAGTACCCTATGTTTTCTATAGGCGACGCTTCAAACGCCCCCTATAGGTCATCGGTTTAGTGTTATGGAGGAGGTCTTGTGCTACAAATATTGCTCTCACTCCGGCGTGCGCGGCGATATGTAACATGTGGATCGCAATGGACATTTTAACATGTAGGCGCATGCGATTTTTGTTCGTACCTGCGTATCTGTGGGGGTGAGGGGGGCCTCGATTTTTTTTTTTTTTGGGGGGGGGGGGGATATTATGTGCTTTTAATATGCGTACCTTTTTTCTTTGCCTAATTTTCTTTTTCCAATCACATAGAGGACACAAATTCCTCTATGCGATGATTTTTAGGTCACAGGTTCTCTTTAATGAGAAATCCAGGGTCTCGAAGACCCCGCAAGTCTCCTCTGAGTTCCACTGAATGTATTGCTATGCAAATCGCATTGCAATACATTCCTCCCCGGCTAGTGACAGGGGTGACCTGGAAGTGATATACGTGTCGCTTTCCGGGTCACAGCAAGAAGAAGAGGAGAGTGGACCTGTGCCAGAGCTCTCCTCCCTCCCCTGCACCCGCCATATTGGCCCTGGACCCACAGATGAGAGGGCGCTACCAAGGGTGTGTGGAAGCAATAGGGTGACAGGGCAGCCGCCCGACAGGCAGGAGTCTAATGTGTCAGTTTTATACAGAATGCCGGTGGCTGCAGCTACTGGATTGTGTGTAATCCCCCCCACTATCAAATACGATGTATGGACCTGGCAATGAAAGGGTTCATGGAGTCTGGAATTCGACTTCAGCGGAGACGCTCTACAAGACCGCTAATCGGCATCCTCCCCATGGCACATGACCTGGCAGATTACATTATATTTCCTGGGAAACTGGCATTAACCAGCTTCTCAGTTAAGAAAGGATCCTGAACCCAGACTTCAAGAACTAAACCCAATAAGTAAAGGAGATTTTTTCCCATTATTTTCACCTGGTGAACCTTCTGTCCTGGGGTGACCACGCTCCCTCACACTACTACAGAAGAGCACCTTTAATCTTTGGAGGGGGAGGTGTTCTGTATGTAGGAAGAGTTAGATCAGGGGTGGGCAAACGTTTTGACTTGAGGGCCGCAATGGGTTCATATATTGGACTCGGGGGCCGGACCAAGAGCAGATGAATGATGTGTATGTGTCATCCATAGTAAGTATAGTAATATTCCCCCCATAGTAAGCATAGTAATTAATCCCCCATATAGTAATTCATCCCCCATATAGTAATTCATCCCCCCTATAGTAATTCATCCCCCATAGTAATTCATCCCCCATAGTAATTCATCCCCCATATAGTAATTCATCCCCCATATAGTAATTCATCCCCCATATAGTAATTCATCCCCAATAGTAATTCATCCCCCATATAGTAATTCATCCCCCATAGTAATTCATCCCCCATATAGTAATTCATCCCCCATAGTAATTCATCCCCCATAGTAATTCATCCCCCATAGTAATTCATCCCCCATATAGTAATTAATCCCCCATATAGTAATTAATCCCCCATATAGTAATTCATCCCCCATAGTAATTCATCCCCCATATAGTAATTCATCCCCCATATAGTAATTCATCCCCCCTATAGTAATTCATCCCCCATATAGTAATTAATCCCCCATAGTGTAATTCACCCCCCCTATAGTAATTAATCCCCCATAGTGTAATTCACCCCCCCTATAGTAATTCATCCCCCATATTAATTCATCCCCCATATTAAGTCCCCAAGTCCCCCCTGTGTCAATTCACTTACCTTTGCTCCACGCGTTCCTCTCGCCGTGTTCCCGCGCCGTTCCGGTGTAGCATGAAAATCTGTCTCCTATGAGGATCTGTCCCCCTCGACGTATCTGCGCATGTGCCAGTTTCAGGCATTAGCAGCCGATCGGCGATCTCCGGCACATGCGCAGATACGTCGAGGGGGACAGATCCTCATAGGAGACAGATTTTCATGCTACACCTGTCTTCAGGGCGGACTGTGAGGGAGCCTAGCAGGAGCCTAGCAGGAGCCTAGCTCCGCGGGCCGGATTAAAAGGCCCGCCGGGCCGTAGTTTGCCCATTGCTGGGTTAGAGGGTCACTAAACCCACAGCAATAAAAACTATCAATAAATGGTGTATTAAAGGCAGTTGATACACATTTAGTATGAACTGAACTTTATAGAGAGCTAAAGATTAATAGTGTCCGTGAGAACCTGATAGGCAGAAATTGCTCATTGCTCAAGGAATCCCCAGCAACCCCAGGAGGAATCTCAGCAACCCCAGAGGAACCCCTACTATGGAGGAACCCTTTGTTAGAGGAAGAAGGATGGACCTCAGCGTAGGAGAGCTCCACCGGAAGTTGTGGGAAAAGTGGGACCAGTGGAGGCCTAAGGCATGGGCAGGGCAGCATGTTTGGGGAAAGTGTGAGTAAGCACCACAGTACCCCTCCAGTCGTTAGAGGGACAGGTTATCAAGAATTCCAGGAAAGGAAGAATATTACCCTTCACTTGATTACCAGTAATGTGGAAAGCTGCATATGTTGTTTATAAAAAAAAAGCCACAATCTGGACTGTTATTTGTGATAAATTTGTTTAAAGAGGAACTCCACCCAAAAGGGGAAGTTTCGCTTTAAGCCTCTCACCCTCGCTCCCCATTAAAGGATTGGCAACTTTAGAGAGTGAGTACCCGAGTTTGACAGCTCCCCCACTACCGCTGCGATCACCTAGGAGATCGGAAGCTTTCCTCTTCCCCTCCCTCCTAGTAGTCTTCTGGGACATGTGGCAGGTCCCAGAAGACTACGGGGCCATTCACAAAGAGCAGTGCCTCTCGCGCATGCGCAGTGGGCATCCAGCTGTAAAAAGCTGGGTGTCCACACTGAAGATACCGGCGCCAGGGAGAGAAGACGGCTGGTGAAACCAGTGGTGGTGAGGACAATGCCGGACCGACGGACAGGTAAGTGTCTGTCATTTAAAATCAGCAGCTACAGTTTTTGTAGCTGCTGAATTTTTTTTTTCAGGTGGAACTCCGCTTTAAGCAAATTTGAAAGAAAAGAGATTCCTTGCCTCGTTGTTGTCTCAGCCGGGAAACAGGATCTAATGGATCTTAAGCAAAGCTACAGTGAGAGGAAAAGTTAACAACATGACGTCCGCCTGCTGTTTATAAACGGCAGGACGGTGGCATTCCAGGGGTGGGTTGCCGTTCATAAACGGCACCCGCATTTTCTAGCTCTGCGCACTCCCTGGGAGTGCGCAGCACCACGATCCGGTGCCCGCTGTGTCCTCCGGACACAATGGAACACCGATTGTCGGACGTCCTGGGACCTCTGTGCGAGGTCCCAATCATGTGATCACTCGTTGGCCAATCAGTGATCACATGCAGAGTAGAAAACAAGATGTCACTTGTGACAGCATTGCTTACTACATGTGAAATCTGTGAATGATCACAGAGGTCACATGGTACAGGGCTATTCACAACAGCCTTGTACCATGTAACAAGCTGTGAACAATCACAGCTCACACAGTAGTTCTCAATGGCTGCAGGAATGCAGCCAAAGAGAAGGAGAAATGATTGCTTTTACAGCCTTTATGGGTGTAAAAGCAATCAGTGTAAACAAAAAAAAAATCTTTATCACCCCCCACAAGTAGTAGTGTCACCATGGTGACACTGTACTGCTAGGGTGACAGTATGTAAAAAAAAAAAAAAACAAAAAACAAATAATATAAAAAAATTTTTTTAAAAAAAGTAAAAAAAAAAGTTTAAAAACTATCATTTTTGGTTATAAACTAATTTGGGTTATTTGTTTTTACTAAAAAGATAACGGAATAAATTTTGGCCAAGATTTATGATGAAATTTTTATTTATTTGCAAAATTTTATAAGAAAAACACTTTTTTGGACTTTTTCATTTACATAGCAAAAAAAATAAAAATCCCAGTGGTGAATAATTACCACCAAAAGAAAGCTTTATCTGTCTCAAAAAAATGCAAAACATTTCATATGGATACAATGTTGCATGACCGCGCAATTGTTATTCAAAGTGTGATAGCGCTGAAAGCTGAAAATTGGCTGGAAGGGGGTGAAAGTGTCCGGACTGGAAGGGGGGGAAAGTGTCCGGACTGAAGGGGGTGAGTGTCCGGACTGGAAGGGGGTGAAAGTGTCCGGACTGGAAGGGGGTGAAAGTGTCCGGACTGGAAGGGGGTGAAAGTGTCCGGACTGGAAGGGGGGGAAAGTGTCCGGACTGGAAGGGGGGGAAAGTGTCCGGACTGGAAGGGGGGGAAAGTGTCCGGACTGGAGGGGGGGAAAGTGTCCGGAAGGGGGTGAAAGTGTTAAAGGGGGGGAATATTGAAGTGGTAAACCCAACATTTCATGTTCCTGATATGTGCTTGCTGCACCATGTGCTTGTATTAAAAAGTCTCCTGTTCTCTTTCTATTGTTTCCTTTATATAAAATACCTGGTGATCCTGCCAGTCCCTCTGCTTTCCTATATCAAACTGACCAAACCAGGCATGAGAGCACATCTATTCCAGAGTGGTCAGATTTTTTGGCTGTG